TAATTTTGTCCTCTGAACCACCCTGCAAACATAATTTAATCACTCCGTACCTAATCTCAAACCCCCAAAAATAGAGCATAAAGAAAAAGAAAACTCAATTAGGGTATTGCCCAACTCCAATTAATTTTTCTCCCTAAACTACCCTGTAAACACATAATTCGACCACTCCTCGTCTAATTTGGAATCTCGACAAACAAACAGGACAGTCAACGACATAATCACACGATCGCTTTTCAAGCTCGAATCGCAATCCGCTTTGCCGGCGGTGCGGGCTACTCGCGTTTCCGCGAATCGATGCGGGCGCCGCGTGAAGTTTTAATGCTCGAAATATCGCAGCTGCTTCGTACCGCGTGTACTGCCTGGCCGATGAATTATAAAAATCTCCATAAAACATGAAATAGTTAATGCCGTTACGTGAAACGCTCTAGCGTGGAATTTATACGCCGTTTCAACGCACACGCTCGTTGTCCGCTTGGCGGATCGTGCACGGGGCCGGAGCACCACTCGCGGGTCAGCGTTCGTGTTTCCGACTTCGATAATTCGTGCCTTCGGAAATTTATGCGATTATTAGATACGTAACGTAAGAGCGTGCGTAATCGGGAGTAGGCCTCGGGGCTGGAAATTCATGTTCACCGCGAATAATCGCCGAGCATTGTTTGCATCAGCGGTTGTGGAGATAGTAGTCAAAGGAAAATTCGTGAATGTTTCATGGTGATGTGATGTGTGTGCTGTCCATTTGGTTGGGCGATTAGCTCCACGGGATAGAAGGATATTTATTTTAAATATTAAAAGTTAGGCGCTTCCGGGACCAAGCGCTTTTGTGAGTGAAGCTTTTAAAAATTTAGAAAGTGAAGTTGATTAGATTGGTTTGCAAATTGGTCATGGGTGAGAGGAAGATAAAATTGGGTTGATAAAAATGGATGTTCGGGTGTCTTTACGTTGAGTCTTTTTATAATGTTCACTGTCAAGTGTTAATCCTAGTTTAGAGTCTTTAAATTCTTCGAAAAGTTTCATTTGACTGCACTCTGACAGTGTTTTCTGTTCCTTTATATCGTGTGCTATGTTTTTATTAGGATGACTCTCTGTGAGTGTCTATTCTGGGTCTTGTCACTTAGGTTTTGCTAGGTATCAATGATGACTCCGCCTTTAGCATTTGTTTAAAGAATAATGGCTCAAAGACCTGCCAATATTTAAAATCATCTAAAGTCTGTGATTGCATTCTTGAACTGACGTT